AAGAGGCTTGCTCAGTGGTAGTTGTTAATAAACAGAGAAGATTAATTTAACACAAAGGTTAAATATAACCAGAGAAAAGCAGGGGAAAGAAAAAAGGAAGAAATAAAGTAACTCAAACAACAGTGAATTAGAAGAGGTGTCACTTGGGTTTTTTCCATCTACAGAACATTTTGAAAATTCAAACATTTCAGGCTCTGGAATTTTGTTGGCTCATTTTGTGTGTGTGTGTTTTGGGCTCTTTTTCTTCATCACAGTCATTAAAAAGATGATACTTACCATTGCATATCACACAAAATGATGATTGATGGGAACCAGATGCCTGCATACCGATCTCATTAAATTTCTTTTTAAGCGGTTCCATTCTGCACCCGCTAATTTGTACTCTGCAAGCTACATCTGGACCCAACAGACAGGATGTCAGGATTGCTTTTCCCCTCTCTTTTGCCCTTTTAACAACTTTAAGGACACAACCATTCCCAGTAGCAGAGCCAAAGGAAATAATTAAGGTGCAAAACCACTGCAGGCACTGGGAACCTGTGCTCTGTTCAGGAGGAGACACCCCATCTCCTCCCATCTCCCCAGACCCTGCAGAGCAAACCCCACACAAAGGAAACCTTCAAGCCTGACCAGCTCCTTCCTCCCTCACCTGGAAGGAGGACACCAAGGTGTCCCCCAAGCACCTAAACCCTTGATGCTTGACTTACCCTGTTTGCAACCTGCAGGGGAAAACATCCTAGCCATCCCTTGAAGCTGCTGGAAGACTTCAGCTGAACCCCCAGCCAGCACTGGTAGCTTGTTTTGTTTTGTTTTTTTTCCTCTCCTTTTTTTCTTCATTTTCCTACCAATGCTTTCATGTTTTCTCTCGCCTTATCCCTCTACGTGGGAGAAACTCTCCGACGCAGCCTAGAGCCTCTCCATATCCCTTCTCAGCCCTCTCCTTCTAACTCCTTTCTGCTCTGGTGCCTACAAAGCAGCTGATAATGGGTAGGTAGGTGGTGTGTAGTGCTGCTATTTATTATGCTGAGGGTTGTCTCATTTCTTCCTCTGCACATTCCCCCTGCTCCTCCCAGCCACCTGTAGCCCATCATCCTATTTTCAGGCTGGGGCAGGGGTGTTGGGTGCTGCCTGTTGTTTACAGCTCCCAGCTCAAGGAGGGAAAGGTCTCAGCCACGTCAACGCCACCACCAGTGAGGCAGAAAAAAAGGCAAATCTAACTGGAGTACGAAGAGGCTGGTGCCTGCTTGCCTCCCGCAGCCCAGCTCTGCCCGTGGGCTCCCTCCGAGGGCTCACAGACCTGTGGGGTGCTGGTGGGCAGCATCTCCAGCTTTGGCGCTGGAGGGCTGGAGGGAAAAGGACCAAGCCCCTGGTGCACACGCTGATGCTAAATGCAACTTCTACAGCTGAGGGAGAAGTAGTGGAGCTTCCTCCAGGTGAAGGCCATGTCCTGCTGCAAAGCCTTGGGACAGGTTGGGCACGAGCTAGCAACCCCCAGGGGCACGTCCTGCTCGCTCATGTGTGCACGACTCACACCTCCACATCCTCATTGCTGTCCTCTTCCACTACCCTGCGTGTGGCCAGCCCAAACCCTCCTGGCTGTGTAGATGAACCTTTAGGCTAGGGGTAGGACAGTTTCCACGTAATAAATGAATTAATGGCAGGGAGGGGTTTAGGGGTGGAAGACAACCCCTGGCCGAGTGGGTAACTTGGATTCACAAGGACACGGTCCCTGCGCTGGGACCTGTCACCTATCTGGTAAAACCAGGAACCTGATTTCTGCTGTGGTCCACCACCCCTCTCCTCTCCGGTGTGCCCGTGCCGACTGCCAGCAGCCTCGGCTCGGTGTTCCCTGCAGCTCCGCCAGCCGCTTGCCCCTGTGCCGTGCTCCCTGGCCAGCACTCCCCATTCCCCAGCCACTGCCAGCCCGGAAGGGGCTCTTCTGCCGTTTCCCTGCCTTTAACGAGAAATTCAGCAGATGAGTTCGGAGGCGCAGCCTCACTCCACTGCAGCAACCTCATGCACAGAGACGGAGACGTGGCTCTCGCCCGGCATTTCCAGGGCTGGTACCAACACATCCTGCGTGTCCTCAGGCAGGGAAACCATCCGGGGACAGCGTCCAACCCTTCCTGTGCCTTTGCTACCCAGGGATGTCCCTGCAGCCCTTGGGGTGTCAAGTGGGACCTTTCCAGCCCTGCGTGGCTCACAAGCAGTGTGAGGGCTGCCCCAGGACGGGAGATGTGGGAAAGGCTCTTCCTGGGTTGCCCCAAGAGGTGCTGGAAGCCCCAAGGCCACAGCTGGTGTGGGATGTGCTGCAGGAATCGCTGCGCAGCCGCCTTGGCCATGAAGCAGCCGAAAGGGCGGGTTCCAGGTGCTGCAGTCTGAGAAATGCAGCCAGGTGAAAACCGGGGCTGTTTCCAGCCAGAGCTTATTCAACCCACACTTGCCCCTCTCACTGCTCATGGAGGGGGCTGTTGTTTTGGAAAGTGTTCCTTGTGCATGTCCTTGTCCTACTGCTCCTGGGTTCTCCTTGTCTCCAGAAAAACATCTCTTCAACTTGACCACAATGATTGTTACAAGCCATGGGAGAAGGA